GTGACTTTAAGTTTTAAGTTACTGGGAATGACTGGACCACATTTGACTTGGGGGCCTGCAAGAGGCCCCTCCAAGGAGTTTCTTGATGATATAGGGTTGCCTTGTCTGCCTTTTGTTTACCTACATTCCTTGTTTCAGTGTCAGCCTTTGCCATATCTCCTACATATTCCAGAAAGTTGAGACCATCTAATCTTACCATTCCCAGAGGAGACCTTATTTCTAGTAATTCCTTGACTAAAATCCCTTCTCAGATGTCCTATTCCACAACAATTATAACTTTTGGCAATTTGGTGTCTCTTCATGCCATTGGAAATTGCTTCTCCTACCCAAGCCTCAGTACTGTAGTCAAATGTCTCAACATTCATTGTATGCAGGATCCATTCATCTATTGGTGCTGATCTGACCTTTACAGGCCCAAGTATCTTTTTCATTCTATGTTGGCATTTTCAAAAGCCAGAGAGTCAATATGTACATATCTAGCTTCTGGGTTGGTTACTCCTACTTATAGAGCCTTAGCTAATCTTTTAAAAACATCACCAAAGGGTTCTCTCTGGCCCTGTTTAACCCTGGCATATGATTCATTTCTCTTTTCTAGTTCCTGAATCCTGTCCCAAGAATTTAAAGCTGCTCTGCTTCATAGGGACAAGGTGCGTTTGTCATAGAGAGCCTGGTCCTGTAGGTTTGAGTAATAGCCTTTGCCAGGAATTTGATCTTGGGAAGCCTTAAGTCCATTTGCTTTTCCCTGTATTCTAAAATTGTTGCCTCTTCTTGCCAATTGCATTTCAATGGCAACTTGGGTCCATCTTCTAGGACTGCTGAGACTAATTGAGGTCAATCATGTGATGTAGCCTTGTTGCTTGAAGCCCATGTATTCAGTATTTCCCCCAACAAATGGAGAGTTAAATCCATAAGATACTATTATTTGCTTAATTTTCTTTAGTTCTCTCATACCTATAGGTTAGTATTTACATTCTTTGAATATTTTAGGGTATTTAGTACCAGACAGCTTCTGAGATGATATTATTGGATAGGCAGCTAAAACCCTGGGTAAGTCATCCTGGGCTCTGGCACATACTGGTGAGGCTAAATCCTGTCCTTGTACCTTCTCTTCCTGCTCATTATTTCTAATAATTTCCTCGTTCGTTTCTAATCTTTTTATCACTGCCTTTTGGAAAGTGTGAATCTCCAGTTCTGTGTGCTATTCCAGTGCTCTCATTGATTCAATTAGCTTCTGGTCCTCATTCTGCACATATGATTCCAAAGTATGAAATTTGTCCAGTAAAGATAATGTCTCATCCATGGACATTATTTGGATTGTGTTCATATTGCCTTCCTGGAGAGATACCTTGTCCATTAACCTATCATAACTTTTCAACCGATTCTGGTTGTTAAATTCAACAGTATGAATACTTTCAGATAATTTATCAGCAACCTTTGACATGGATTGGATTTTGTCAAATTAATTTTATCCTTTTTTTTTTTTTTTTTTTTTTTGGTTTTTTGAGACAGGGTTTCTCTGTGGTTTTGGAGCCTGTCCTGGAACTAGCTCTTGTAGACCAGGCTGGTCTCGAACTCACACAGATCCGCCTGCCTCTGCCTCCCGAGTGCTGGGATTAAAGGCATGCACCACCACCGCCCGGCTCTATCCTTTTCAATAGTATTAATTTTTTCAGCTGGCTGTTCATTATTAGTCTAAAAAGACTGTACCGTTTCTAAAAGTGCCTTATTCTTGGCTCTGTTATCAAACCATTTTCTTAAAGATATAATATGAAAAATAAAGCTAATTCCCAAAATCAAATAGATGGGTGTGTAAGGAAAATCACATAAGCCTTGCAGAATATAATCCATAGTGTAAGCAAAATTGTTACTAAATTCATGAACGGTAATATTGTCAGTCATCATATAACTTCCAAAATTCAATAATACTTACTTGCCTTAGGCAGTTACAGTGAATTGGGGTAGGCATAATAAGCTTCATTGGCCAGCAGGTGTCGTGGTTGCAGCTGCGTGGCAGAGGGAAGCTGAGTAGAGAAGTGAGCAGTCCTGGCTACTGCTGGCTTCTCAGGAATTGGTCGCACTACCTCACTGGTTCTGCAAAGCATCCTGCTCTGGTTCAGTGTGTACTGTCGCCTACTTAGATGCTGACAAATATGCTTTGTTTAACAAATTAAGAGCAGTTATTAAGGACAATTAAAGTGATTCCATACATGGAGAGAGTTGGTGACCAAAATAAGAAAGAAGCCCAAAGTTTTCTGTCATTTGCAAGCTGTGAACTGTGTGCAGCCAGCAGATGTAACGCTGCGGGATTGCGGCATGAAGAAAAAAAAAAATACCTGGGCGGCAGGAGAGATTGCAGAAGCATGGTGTGAGAGGGGCAATCTGGGTGCTAGCTGAAGAAGTGACAGCCAGTGAGTAGTGAGCCATTGGGCTGGGAAAGTCAGGTTCCTAAGCAGCAGCAGGTGGGACACAAGTGGGTGAAAAATATGCCCAGGCTGGTGAACCGGGAGCATGGAGGGGATTGGGGGGGGGAGTTCCAGTAAGTGGATTTGGCCCCAAGTTGGGCAGCCAGAATGCCTCAGATGGGGGGACCATGAATCAAATAATCCCACACTAGCTCCGAATAGGGTATACTAAGGTTTTCTTTATTAAAAGGGAAACTCACAAATCACAAGGAGGAAACATGAATGGGATCCAACATCCAGGTGTGGCTAGCAGGAAGAGGCTGAGAGGGCAGTCCCACTGACCTTTTGGTATCCAAAGCCATGCCCCACATAGTCCAGATTCTCAAGGCCATTGGCTGAAAGAGGTTCCCCATCAACTCCTCTATGTCTGTTGTTATATCCCCCTTTTCATTTCTGATTTTGTTAATTTGGGTATTGTCCATCTGCCTTTTGATTAGTTTAGATAAAGGTTTGTCTATTTTGTTAATTTTCTTGAGGAGACAACTCTTTGTCTCATTGACTCTTTGTATTATTTTCTTTTGTTCCTATTTTGTAGATTTCAGCTCTTAGTTTGATTATTTCCTGATGTCTAGTCCTCCTGAGTGAGTTTGCTTCTTTTTTGTTCTAGAGCTTTCAGGTGTTCTGTTAATTTGCTAGTGTGGGATTTTTCCAGCTTCTTTATGTGGGCATTGAGTGCTATGAGCTTCCTCTTAGCACTACTTTTATTGTGTCCCATAAGTTTAGGTATGTTGTGCAGTCATTTTTTTTTAATTTTAGGAAATCTTTAATTTCTTTCTTACTTCTCTCTTGATTCATTGGTGATTCATATGAGCATTGTTTAATTTCCACGTGTTTATGGGCTTTCTGAAATTAGTGTTGCAGTTGAATTCTAACTTTAAGCCATGATGATCTGATAACACACAGAGGGTTATTCCAATTCTATCTGTTGATATTTGCTTTGTTATCAAGTATGTGGTCAATATTGGAGATGGATCCATGAGGTGATGAGAAGAAGGTATATTCTTTTGTGTTTGGGTGAGATGTTCTATAGATGTCTGTTAAGCCCATGTGCAGCTTCACATCTGTTAGATCCTTTATTTCTCTGTTAAGTTTATGTCTGGCAGATCTGTCCAGTGGTGAGAGTGGAGTATTGAAGTCTCCCACTATTAGTGTGTAGGGTTTGATGTGTAATTTAAACTTTATTAATGTTTGTTTTACATATGAGGGTACCCTTGTATTTGGGGCATAGATGTTCAGAATTGAGATTTACTCTTGATGGATTTCTCCTGTGATGAATATGAAATGACATTCTTCATCTCTTTAGACTAATTTTAGCTTGAAGTCTATTTTATTAGATATTGGAATAGCTACACCAGCTTGTTTCTTAGGTCCCCTTGATTGGAAAATCCTTTACCAACTCTTTACTCTGAGGCAATGTCTGTCTTTGTAGTTGACTTGTGTTTCTTGTATGGAACAGAAGGATGAATTCTGTTTTCATATCCAGTCTGTTAGCCTGTGTCTTTTTATAGGTGAGTTGAGTCCATTTATAATAAGGCTATTTATATTATTGACCAGTGATTGCTAGTTCCTCTTATTTTGTTGTTGTTGCTGTTACTGTTGTTGGTGGTGGTGGTGGTAGCGATGTTGGGTGTTTCTATTCTTTGGGATTTGCTGGTGTGGGGTTATCTGTTTCCTGTGTTTTTGTGGGTGTAGCTAACTTTCTTGGGTTAGAATTTTCTTTCTAGTACTTCTGTGGGACTGAATTTGTGGATAGGTATTTATTAAATCTGGTTTTGTCCTGGAATCCTGGAATATCTTGTTTTGTCTATGTTGATTGAAAGCTTTGCTGAGTATAGTAGCCTGGACTGGCACCCATTGTCTCTTAGTGGCTGCATAACATGTGACCAGGACCTTCTGGCTTTCATTGTTTCCACTGAGAAGCTGGGTGTAATTCTGATAGGCCTGCCTTTATGTTACTTGGCCTTTTCCTTTGTAGTTCTTTTTTTTTTCCAAGACAAACTGTATCCAGCTTTATTAAAGACACTTTCCATAAACAATCATGGTTTTCCAGGCAGAACATGGGCAGACAATCAGTAACAGAATACAAGAACTTCCAAACTCCCTTCTTGTATCGACTACCAAAATCAGAAAGCCACTATAAAACCTGGTGAGTCTTCATTGGATGCTCTGCAAAGGGGGAGGAGTTTAGAGTGAGGGCTGACATTTCACATCGAGGATGTTGTTTCACAACTCTTCACAAGCCGACCCTGACTTTCAGGAAATGAAATGAAAATGGCAGAATTATCAGTCTGCAGGTCCACAATCTTCTATAAAAGGAATCACTGCGCTTTTGAGGACACTCAATGATATCACTGCAAAGTCCGGATTGCCCAACAGACTGGCAAAACCAATTTTGGGGATCAGGTTCCAACAGGTCTCTGGTCTTAAGGGAGTTAAGTCTATGTTGATGGTACAGGGGGAGGAGGATATAAAAATGAACTGAGTTTTCCCACACAAGGCATGTGTGCCATGGTGGCCACACATGTCAACATGTCCCCAGGACGCCTCTCCTGGGAGCCAAGAGGAGTCTCTCAAAATTATCAGGGAAAGATGTTTTCCATCATGAACCATCATTCATCCAGTTTGGGAGACACTGCTAGTGACACATGTTCCTCCCCACCCAAAACAATGAAGTGTTCTGTGTGCTAACAACATAGCTTTAAAAAAAAAAAAGTAAAACAAAATTCTGCATTTTTATAAAACTTGATAAAAAAATAGTATTTCAAACTGTACAGTCACCAGAAGTACACAGTTATCAAAAACACACACATTTCACCTGGCGTCTCCAGCATCTTCAGCTTTTTTGTGCCTGGTCTGTTTTGGCGTCTCCATTCTCTGCAGGATTATTGGCATCCTTACCAGCATCGGCCTTCCCCTTCTTCCCCTTGGGTACCTTCTCTCCCTTCTTTGCTGGGGCCTTTTTAGGCTTGGGCTCTGGCTTTGGAGGAGCAGGTTTAGCAGACAACCTTGCCGATCTTCTCTGTGGCTCGTCCTTCACCTTGGCTTTATCTCCGTTAGTATCCCCTTCAGCCTTTCTTTTGGGCATGGCGGCGGCGGGGGCGGGGGCGGGGGCGGGTGGGACGTCGGCGCTGAACGTGGGGCTGCAGCGGTGCACGGCTCGGGTCTGTCCGGGGGTCGTTCTCGCTGCTTCCTCACACTCTCCTTTGTATTTCTTAATGTTCTTTCTTTATTCTGTATATTTAGTGTTTTGATTATCTGCCTTTTTTTGGTCCAATCTATTTGGTGTTCTGTAAAATTCTTGTATTTTCATAGGCATGTCCTTCTTTGGGTTGAGAAAGTTTTCTTCGATGATTTTGTTGAAAATATTTTCTGTGCCTTTGAGCAGGACTTCTTCTTCAATTCTTATTATTCTTAAGTTCAGGCTTTTCATGGTGTTCCATATTTCCTGGATGTTTTGTGTTAAGTATCTGTTGGATTTAACATTTTATTTGACAGATGAATTTATTTCTCTATTGTATTTTCAATGCCTGAGAGTCTCTTTTCCATCTCATATTCTGTTGTTTATGCCTGCATCTGTAATACCTGATCATTTACCCAGATTTTTCATTTCCAGATTTTCCTCAATTTGTGTTTTTTCATTGCCTCATTTTCAAGTCTTGAACAATTTCTTTCAGGTGTTTGATTTCCTTTTTCTTTTTTTCTTGGTTTTCCTTAAGGGATTTGTTGATTTCTTCTCCTCTCTCTCTCTCTCTCTCTCTCTCTCTCTCTCTCTCGCTATCTTTTTCTCTGTTTCTTTAAGGGAATTCTTCATTTCCTCTTTAGGGACCTCAGTCATCTTTATAAAGTTATTTTTAAGGTCATTTTCTTCTGTTTCATCTGCATTGGGAAGGTTCAGGTCTTATGTTCTAGAACCAGTTTCTGGTGGTGCTGTATTGCTCTTTATGTTGTTGAGTGTATTCTTACCATCTTGTCTATCCATCTCTTCTTCCAATTGGAACAGGTGGAACCTGTTTTTCAGAGGTTTCCTTTTTTCTACAGTTGGTGTAGTTGGGGACTGTGGCTTCGTTGAATGTTCCTCTAGGAGTAGGCAGAGCAGACCCTTTGGTGATCGTTCCTCCAGGTGCCTATGGGCCCAAGGCTTAGATGGTTGTTCATCCACTGCTGGCCTCATGGCTCACCGTGCCTGTGCTCTCTCTTCTCCTCCCGGGACCCTGGCCTGGCCCGTGTGCTGCTGCTCATGCTTCTTCTGCTTTTGGAATATTGTGGAAGATTTGGGAACTTGGAGCTGGAAAAGTCACTGAGTGTTTAGAGCTTAAGGAGCTGTTGTAGAACTTAGAAAATAAGAATGTTGGGAGACATGCAGATGATGGAGCCTGACTTGTGAAGTTTCAAAGGAAAGCAGACTCTATCGGGATCGTCATGTGATGTGTTACATTAAGAATCTGTGTTTTTTGGTCAGCTATGCTTAACAAAAGAGCAGTACCGCTGAAATGGAACCCTCTGTGCTTCACTGGGACAATGCTGGTCCGTGGGGCTGAAAGAAATCAGTTGTTGGTAAGAGATCAGCACCATTGATGTGAAGTCTACTAAAAAGTATTTCCTCCAGGTCAGCATGCAGAAACTGTCCCAGGAGGGATGAGGCTGCACACCAAGTTGGCAGCAGGCTTGGCAAAGACTATGTAATAGCCTCTCTCACAGTGCTGATTTTGAAGACATGGAATGATCATGGAGAACAATTGAGACCTGGCAATTTGCAGGGGTCCCAGAGTCCCTAAACAGCCACTGGTGAGTGTGTGCCTTCAATTTCAGTGGAGACTCCAGAGTTGAAGAGACAATAGATAGAAGGGAAAGCTTGGTATTGTGTGGGGACAGGAGTCCCCAAAGAGAGATCATTAGTGATGATGACTCTTCAGTACACTGGAGATACCATGATACCTAGAGATGCCAGGGCCATGGCACACCTGCCAAGGACAGTAGTAGGTATAGAGCAGAGCCAGCCTGAGTCTGTCAGATGAGCTATGCATGTTGTGAATGGCAGAGCCAGAGAAATTGGGCTCAGAAATTTGGAGCCCAGAAGATTATGAGTGAATCCCAAAGATTGGACATTGAACCATATATGTTGTTTCATTTTTTCTTTTTTTGTTCTGTTTGTTATTAAATGAATAAAACATACTTGAAATCAATTACTAAAATCATGTGTTAATTATATTATTAAAATAATGGGCTGAAGAGATAGATCAGCTGCTAAAGGTTCAGACTTAGACATAAAGAGGCAGAAGTGTATTCAGTTCCCAGCACCCAGAAGAGCATTGTCTCTTCAGCTTCCTCTTTTAGTCTGAGTGAGGTAGCACATGCTTTTAATCTCAGCACTCAGAATACGGAGGCAGGGGGATCGCTGAGTTTGAGTGCAAACTGGTTGAGTTCCAGGGCAGCCAAACTACATAGACCCTGACTCAAAAAAAAAAACAGTATAAGGAATATTCTGTATAATATAATAAAACCAAAAATTGAACCAAGCACCTTAGAAATTATAAAATTATAACATTCCTACAGTGAAAGCAAACTCAAAATTTTGGGTCTCTAGAAAGTGACAGTAAGAACTCTAATAACACTCCTCACAGATGATAACTAAAACCCCACTTAGTGAGAACTGTGGTCCTGAAATATCTCCTTTAATAAACGATGGGCAAGACTCATGTGACTCATAAGCAGATGCGGTGACTCATATGTGTAATCATAACATTTAAGAGGTTGTGCTGATCCCATAGACATGAGGTCAACAACCACCTTCCACAAATTATGGCCAAATCAAAGGAAGCTTTATAAAGGTCTGTGACGCTCTCCCCTAAGGCTGGGCTCAAAAAAACCAGCCCTGAGCCAGTATTTCAAGTCTCTTTTTAGGGTAAAAGCAGAGAATTGGGGTTCTGTCAGCCAGTGTGGTTACAGAAGCAAAGTGGAGCAGTTAGGAAAATCCCTCTGGGACGGTTGGAATGAAAATGGCCCTCATAAACACATAGAGAGTGGCATGATTGAAAGTGTAACCTTGTTGGAGTAGGTGTGGCCTTGTTGGAGGAAATATGTCACAGGGGGTGGGCTTTGAGGTTTCAGAAGCTCAGCCAGGCCCACTGTCACCCACTCTTCTTGCTGCTGCTGCTGATCCAGGTGTAGAACTCTCAGCTACCTCTCCAGCACCATCTCTGCCTGCATGCCACCATGCTTCCTGTGATGGACAATGAACTAAACTGTAGTGTGATTAATAAAAACCCAAAGACAGGTTTAATTTTACATATTTTGAGTGTAGCATACTTTAATCAATTTCCTTTATTCTTATTTTTTTAAATTATTTATTAATTAAGGATTTCTGCCTCCTCCCCGCCACCGCCTCCCATTTCCCTCCCCCTCCCCCGATCAAGTCCCCCTCCCTCATCAGCTCGAAGAGCAAGACAATAACATGTTAAGTGATTTGGCCAGTTATGAAAAAAATAGCTTAGTTTGGTCTCAAAATCAAAACCCATGCCCATGTATCTCTCTGGTTCTGTATGGTGGCTACAGGATGGCTACGTGATTGCATATCAACTATCAATAGCGCCTTCCAAGTAGAAGCATTATGGATGCCTTTGATTTTCTTCTCAGTGCTTTTCTTTGTATTGTGAGATTTTCATAATTACACACACCACTTTCATAATCTCAAAACATGATTTTTCCTAAAGATGAAAAAAAAACCCAAAGACAGATATTGGGGTTCTACCTGAAGGTCAGGAAAACAAAATAGCCAGCCACTGGCTTTTACCCCTACCTCAGTCCAAAATGGTGATCCTGCCTCCAGGAATCTTTAGAAAGAGACTGTGTCTGAGAGCTGTCTCTTCACGTCTTAAATTCCTCTCTAGCACTGGGATTAAAGGCCTGTACTACTACCACCTGGGCCTGGTTTCTATGGCAACTAGTGTGGCTACCAGGATTAAAGGTGTGTGTCACCACTGCCTGGTCTGTAAGGCTGTCCAGTGGGACTGTTTTACTCTCTGATCTTCAGGCATGCTACAAGTCACAACATTATATAGTAATTGCTCAGCCACCTTTTCACAAGTAACTTATCAGAACCAAGAGATCTGGTAAAGGCTAAACCAAAAAGCAAGGCTTTTTGGTGTTACTGTTTTGTGAATAAATGGCTGTCCTTTGCTGTAGATTTTTTTTTCTGTAGCTGAATTCCCTTTCTGTTACATATTTGGGGATTAATTCCCTAATTCAGAATGTTTTCCACTGCCAAGCCTTGTTCCTCTCTCCTAAGTGAGCACGGAGATCTGCCTTTCTGCAATTATCTTTATCAGCAGGCCATTTGGTCAGTGCTTAGGGTCCAGGCATAGAGCATCCCATCTAAGATAGTCACTGATCTCCAAGGACATAGAATTGCCACCAGCCAAAAGTTACTTTTCTGGTTTTAGCCCACTCAAAAGATTCTTAACTCTTTATGCCCACTTTCAAACCTTAGTTTACTGGTAATTTTAGTTCAGGACTCTCAAGGACAGCAGAAGAGACAATTAACTGCAACCCAGAGAAAGCCAACAACACCCACAATCAAAATGACGGATAACAGCATAGACCAAAATTGACAATTAAATAGACCTATAATGGCTAAGGAAATAGAAACAATCAACAGTCTCCCAAACAAACAAAAAAAAAAAAAGTCCAGGACTAGATGGTTTCAGTGCAGAATTCTACCAGGTTATCAAAGAGGAAGTAATACCAATACTCCTCAAATTGTTCCACACAATATAAGCAGAAAGAACATTGCCAACTCTTTTTATGAGGCTACAGTTACTCAGATACCCAAACCACAGAAAGACACAACTAGGAAACCGAATTACAGACCAATCTTCCTCAAGAACATTGATGCAAAAATACTTAATAAAATATTGGCAAACCAAAACCAAGAACACATCAGAAAAATCTTCCACCATGACCAAGTAGGTTTCATCCCAGAGATGCAGGGATGGTTCAACATACAAAAATCCATCAAGGTAATCCACCATATAAACGAACTGAGAGAGAAAAACCACATGATCATCTTAATAGATGCTGAAAAAGACT